TCCCTTCCTCTCCTTCCACCTACTGTGCTGTCTATAGTATTTTGTTCTTTTCTTTCTAATCTTGCATTACCACTTTCTTTTTTTTTTAATTTTTTTATGATTATTATACTTTAAGTTCTAGGGTACATGTGCATAACGTGCAGGTTTGTTACATATGTATACTTGTGCCATGTTGGTGTGCTGCACCAATCAACTCGTCAGCACCCATCAACTCGTCATTTACATCAGTTATAACTCCCAATGCAATCCCTCCCCCCTCCCCCCTCCCCGTGATAGGCCCCAGTGTGTGATGTTCACCTTCCCGAGTCCAGGTGATCTCATTGTTCAGTTCCCACCTATGAGTGAGAACATGCGGTGTTTGGTTTTCTGTTCTTGTGATAGTTTGCTAAGAATGATGGTTTCCAGCTGCATCCATGTCCCTACAAAGGACACAAACTCATCCTTTTTTATGGCTGCATAGTATTCCATGGTGTATATGTGCCACATTTTCTTAATCCAGTCTGTCACTGATGGACATTTGGGTTGATTCCAAGTCTTTGCTATTGTGAATAGTGCCACAATAAACATACGTGTGCATGTGTCTTTATAGCAGCATGATTTATAATCCTTTGGGTATATCCCCAGTAATGGGATGGCTGGGTCATATGGTACTTCTAGTTCTAGATCCTTGAGGAATCGCCATACTATTTTCCATAATGGTTGAACTAGTTTACAATCCCACCAACAGTGTAAAAGTGTTCCTATTTCTCCACATCCTCTCCAGCACCTGTTGTTTCCTGACTTTTGAATGATTGCCATTCTAACTGGTGTGAGATGGTATCTCATTGTGGTTTTGATTTGCATTTCTCTGATGGCCAGTGATGATGAGCATTTTTTCATGTGTCTGTTGGCTGTATGAATGTCTTCTTTTGAAAAATGTCTGTTCATATCCACATCAGAGCTGTTTTAAATACATGAAAAGTGGAAACTTTGTAACAGTTGATTCCACTGATTCTCAGGGCTTCTCTACCTATCTTAATCAAATGCTTAAATATTTGTGAAATTGACCAACTTTTCTCAGAGTTTATTTCTAGAATTGAGAGGGGTGTTTCCTAAGAACTGAAAGGGTCTCATCTTTAGTAATTTATGAATAAATAACTCTTTTTATAATTTTTTGTCCACTCAAATTGGCTTAAGGAAACCTGATAAGGATTCTGTGTATTTGAGGAGTAGCACTGTGGAAATGCAAGCTTGTCTTCAAACCACTCCTAAGTTTCTTTGTTTTCTTTCGTGCACAACCTTCTTCATAGATTCAGAAATCCAGGAATTCAGGATAAAGTCTTAAAATACCTAATGGGGAAAGTAGCTATTCTCTTTGATAGTGATTGACTAGAGAACCCTTAAAAACTGAAGCCATCACACCACGCTAAAGATGAAGAAAGATTACTTTAAAAGAAAAATCTGGTGGCAGAACAATCTTTGGATGAGCTTTCAAAGCGGAAGTGATTACATTCAGTGAAGCGTGAAATAGGTAGCCATCCCGAGTCATCTTAGTGAGGATTCTTAAAATCACCAAAATTCTAGGGGCAAAAACTCACTCAATCAAGACTTGAAGGTCTTCTTCAGAACGTTCAAGCATAATATGCTATCTACAAAGATAAGGTAAAGCAAATAGTGTGTTGGGGTTTTTTTTAACCATAGGGTGGGTTATATTCAAAATACAGAATAAGTTAGACTGTATAGCAATATTTCTATTAAAATTATTTTGATCATATTGAAAAAAAGAATCCTCAGTGCACACAAAATTTATTCAGCCTAATAGTGTATAGATATGGAATGCTTGTCTTTAAGCCACAAAGGAAGGAGCAGTAAGGTCAACCTTGAGACCTAGTTTTAAGAACAGTCTGTTTTCTCAAGAAAGCTTGCATTCAGAAGACAATATTTACACCCAGAAAATACTTGCTACAAGATAGATTCACTTAGACATAAGAGGCATATTTGGATGATATGTACAGAAAAAAGTATGTGTTGATATGCTTTGAGGAAGTTACTATTAAGATACTAAAACCCAAACAACTGGCATTCCAACATTTCTCTCAAAGCCTTTTGATGGCAGGAGAGAAGTAGTGATTGAAGCCCTGCTGCAGACAGGGTTTGGTTAAGAATTGGCAAACCACAAAATAGGTTTAGTCTATAAAAGGACAACTAATGATGGCCTGTTGGAGCAGGACCCTGTAACACTGTATCTCATCAAGGCAATAAGAATAGACTATCAGTTCTTCAGTTTCTTGACTTTCATCAATCAGTTTACATTTTAGATGTTCCTAGATAATGTTTTTCAATAAAATGCATACCTGCAGATCAAGTGTCAGCTAAGCACAAGGCCTTGAGCTAGTAACATTGTTGTAGGCAGCACTCAGCTCACTGAAATGGCCTTTCTTTGGCAAAAGAGAGTAAACGTTGCCAAAGTAGTGTTTATTTTATAGTTAGGATTCAAAGCTTCAGCTTTTTCAGGTTTCTGGGCCTAAAGCTTAGAGTCCAAAAAGTCCCTAAAATTTAGCTAAATCCTTTCTTAATCTCAATGACAAGTTGTGTTTATTTATACACCTGCACCCACAACTGTATTCTTATAGAAAATGATATTACAGTGAATTTTTTTTTTTTTTTTTTGAGACAGAGTCTCTTTCTGTCGCCCAGGCTGAAGTGCATTGGCAATTTTCCTGCCTCAGTCTCCCGAGTAACTGGGACTACAGGTGCATGGTACCACACCTGGCTAATTTTTGCATTTTTAGTAGAGATGGGGTTTTACCATGTTGGCCAGGCTGGTCTCAAACTCCCGACCTCAAGTGATCCACCTGCCTTGGCCTCCCAAAGTGCTGGGATTACAGGCATGAGCCACCGTGCCTGCCCTACACTGAACCTCTTCTTATGCTTTCTATTGTAACTCTATTTCTCACTGTTATTGACAGCAATGATAGAGAGACTATGGAAAGAGATAACATAACATTTTTTCTTTTGAAGTTTCCTTGGATTCTATCTTTTTAATCTGGGAATAGAGCTACTCAAGTGAAGAGATATGTGGGAAATGTAGGAAAAATAAGACCTTAAGTTGATTTGAGGGATTCTGAGAACAGGGGAGTTTTATGTTCAGCAGAGCCAATCTTGACAACTTCCTCTCCCTGTCAACAGGATTCTACTCCCCCCTTATCTGGATGGGTCAAATCCACCCATGAGGGATGGGTTACATTCGCAGTATGTGAAACAGTGGGACAAATCACAGAAATCATGTCCTGGAGGAGCAGATTGAAGCAATATTTGGACCACAAACAAGGGCTGAGTTGGGATAGGGGCTTGCAAATCAAGAAACCAAGAGTGTTGTAGCATAAAAGAAGGGAAAAGAAGATGGTAGTTTGGCTAAATTCTGGAGACAAAGCACGGATGGGTTTTTGGTGCTGTTACTCATTCCCAGCCTGCTCTGAGGGTTTTTGTCATGTGTTTTTGACACAGAGTCTTGCTCTGTCACCCAGACTGGAGTGCAGTGATGTGATTATAGCTCACTGCAGCACTCTGAGTGTTTTTAAAATAAAGTCAGAGCAAGAAGACACTGCCTCCCCTGCCACTTATTACTCTCTGAATTCAGACCCTTATTATCTCTCACCTAAATTTTAAAAAATCGTAAGCATAACGTAATTATCACACCTTAAAATTAACAATAATTCATTAATATTGTCCAATATCCAGTCAATAGTCAAATATTTTTACGTCTCATCGCGATTTTTCCACGTGCTTTCTTTTGAATTTCTTTTAATCTAGTTTTATTCCTCTTTCAATCAATCTTCATTGAGAAGCTAGTTAAATCTCACAGAAATACTTCTTCCCTTGTTATTCCTCTCTTCCAAACAATTATCTTCTATCAGCCAACCTTTCATTGAACTCTACCTTTCCTCATCTTCCAAATATACAAAACTAAAAGTGGCTATGTGTTATATAAAGGATGTATTCCTTAAAATTTTTCATAATTTAAAACTCCAATAATTCAAATATAATACTAATAGATAATGGAGGCTTGTTTGTTTACTGGCTAAAGAGGTACCACCATCTCCAAACTCATCTTCAAGATCCAGAGTGTTGCTTGGCAGTGGCATACACAGTTCGTTATATCCTTGACCTTTGAATTCATGGAATTCTTAGAAAGTTTTTAATTAGGTTGAGGTTTTACTTCATATATTACATATAAAGTTATCATTTATTAGTTTTTTAAAAAAATTTATTAGTTTTTTAAACTAATAAAATTATTTATTAGTTTAAATCATTTATGATCATTTAAATCATTTATTAGTTTTCTTTAAAAATTCCAGAATTAAAAAGTTACAGAGTTCAATTTTGCATATAATACAACTAACTGTATTCCAAGTTTATTTCATAGTTTATTCTGTAATTATATTGTCTGTTGTTATGGCTCTATAGACAGGAATATCTTTCTTATCTCTTATCTGCCTAGAAAATTTCTATTAATTTTCTATGACTCATCTGAAGCATCATCTCCTCCTTGAAGCCTTCCTTTTCTAGACAGAATGAGTCATTCCCTTTTGTTTTTCTAAAACGCCTTGCTTGTATGCCTGTTACATTATTTAGTATGGTATGATTTATAAACTAGTCACATTTTTCTATCATTATATTTAGTATGTTAGTATGTACTTATTGGCTGTACTTTATTCATGTGAGCTGCCACTAAGCTTATAGTGGATGCTCATAAAGTGTTGACTTTAAATAGTTTTGCAAGATTATTGTGAAGGTTAAATGAAATAATTTTTAACAATTGCCTGATACAGTACCTGGTACTTACTGGTACTCAGTAAAGTTTCCCTTCCTTTTTTCTCTTTAGTTTACTCCTGCCTTATTTCTCCCAGCACCATGTATTCCTTCCATGTGAAATGAATAGAGATTTCTTTTTTACATTGCTTGCATGTCTCTTCAGGGTACTAACACTGACTTACGCATCTCTCATTTGTTTATTTAAGGTCACTAGTTCTGTTCGGAACAGAGATCCCTCTGAGATAGAATACAGAAGTAATATGACTTCTCCAACACTCCTGGATGCCAACCCCATGGAGAACCCAGCACTGTTTAATGACATCAAGATTGAGCCCCCAGAAGAACTTTTGGCTAGTGATTTCAGCCTGCCCCAAGTGGAACCAGTTGACCTCTCCTTTCACAAGCCCAAGGCTCCTCTCCAGCCTGCTAGCATGCTACAAGCTCCAGTACGTCCCCCGAAGCCACAGTCTGCTCCCCAGACCCTTGTGGTGTCCACGTCAACATCTGACATGAGCACTTCAGCAAACATTCCTACTGTTCTGACCCCAGGCTCTGTCCTGACCTCCTCTCAGAGCACTGGTGGCCAGCAGATCTTACATGTCATTCACACTATCCCCTCAGTCAGTCTGCCAAATAAGATGGGTGGCCTGAAGACCATCCCAGTGGTAGTGCAGTCTCTGCCCATGGTGTATACTACTTTGCCTGCAGATGGGGGCCCTGCAGCCATTACAGTCCCACTCATTGGAGGAGATGGTAAAAATGTTGGATCAGGTAAGTAACAATATTGCCCCTTTCCTGGCCTTCCTGAATCTATTCCCTTTTTGAGTCATCCTATCTCCTGTCTGTTTTCACCTCCAGTTATTCCTGGACACTGCTTCAACAGTAATCTTTCATAAGTACTGTTTTTATCATGTCTTTTTAATGCTTAAGAATGTACAATGACTCGGCCGGGCATGGTGGCTCATGCCTGTAATCCCCGCACTTTGAGAGGCCGAGGTGGGTGGATCATGAGGTCAGGAGATCGAGACCATCCTGGCTAACATGGTGAAACCCCATCTCTACTAAAAGTACAAAAAATTAGCCGGGCGTGGTGGCAGGCGCCTGTAGTCCCAGCTACTCGGGAGGCTGAGGCAGGAGAATGGCATGAACCCAGGAGGCGGAGCTTGCAGTGAGCCGAGAGTGTGCCACTGCACTCCAGCCTGGGCGACAGAGCAAAACTCCGTTTCAAAAAAAAAAGGAATGTACAATGACTCTTGATTAGACCATGCTTCTCGACCAGGTATGCATATCTATCAGTGACATATCAAACAACTTCCTGGAACTTCCATATTATTTGATATTAAATAATTTAAAGCATTTTATATTTAAAATATGATTATCTTGTATTACAAAATGCAAAATTTGCAAAACCTGTTAAGATAAACCACACACTTCAAAAAGAGGTTAAGCTTACTAAAGGCATCCACCCTCGGACTTTTCAGGATAATGTGTTTATTTTACGCCTTCAGAATGCTTTGGTGGAAAAGCTGAGAACAATATTTCTATCTCAAACATACTTAGCCAGTATTAGCTCCTGTCTCTACCAATACTTTCCCTTTTCTCTTCCCTACAAAAGAAGTAATTGAAATATTGTCATCTTCCCTGTGTTCTTCCTCATTTGGCATCTATCACTTTCCATTTTACTTATTTATTTGTCTGTATCACAAGTGTCTGGGCATTATTTTCACAACTGAATTGTAGATTCCTCAAAAATAATACTCTATATTAATTTTTTTAATGTATGCCTCCAGAGAACTTAACACAGTGCTAGTAGTTGTCTTAGTTGTCTTGCAACAGATAATTTGATAAACAAACTTGAAAATTTGTCCAAGAGAGAATTCAAATGCTATAATCTTCCATTTTATTTTTAAAATAAGTTCAAAAATTCAGAAAGGTATAAATTAAGTCTGTCTTCCACCACTATCCCCCAACCACTAGTTCTCCTCCCAGAGGTATATCTGTTTTAGTTTGTAATCAGGAATGATCAAGGAAAATTATGTGGCCTCTAAAGCAGGCTGATAAAGTTTTGCATATATCGAAAAGGGCAAGGGGTGGAAATGACTAGGAAGCAGATTTCAGCTTAGTATAAAAGAGTCTCTACCTTTGAAATTTGATGCCCTATACTAAATGTAGGAGGCTGAAAAACAATATACTACTAAGCATCAAGTTGCTGAGACTGCACTGGTCTTCTGAATACAAATATTATCATTGACTAGTGGTTAAGTGTGGTAATGATAAGTGTTCATAATCTTATTTTGAGATATGAGATCCATTCCATATATGAAAGGAGAGCCAAACAAACAAACCAAAAAAAAGGAAACAAATAAAAAAGGAAATAAAATTTCCCGTGTGATAGTTTGCTGAGATAAAGGCAGTGGTAGCATCAAGGGATGGTTTGAAGGAGCTTTGAATAGTCTCCATAATATCATCAGTCCATCAGAGCCACTCTAAATAAACAGAATAAATTTTAAATGTGCTCAATGGGGTTCCAAGCTAAGGGCATTGGCCCAATGGTATCTGTATTAGTTCGTTTTCATGGTGTTGATAAAGACATACTCGAGACTGGGAAAAAAAAGAGGTTTAATTGGACTTGCAGTTCCACATGGCTGGGGAGGCCTCAGAATCATGGCGGGAGGCAAAAGACACTTCTTACATGGTGGCAGCAAGAGAAAAATAAGGAAGAAAGAATAGCAGAAACCCCTGATAAACCCATCAGATCTCATGAGACTTATTCACTATCATGAGAATAGCAGGGGAAAACTGGCCCTTATGATTCAATTACCTCCCCCTGGGTCCCTCCCACAACATGTGGAAATTCTGAGAGATACAATTCAAGTTGAGATTTGGGTGGGGGCGCAGCCAAACCACATCGGTATCCAAAATGGTGGGCTTACTAAACCTTAGGGGGCACATATAAAACAATTGGAGTGCAAGAAGAACGTATCAAAATTTGTATTTTCTTACCCTTAAAAATTGACAGGTAATATTGTATGTTTTATCATCTATAGCATGATGTTTCGAAGTATATATGCATTCTGGAATGGTTAAATCTAGCTAAATAACAAATGCATTACCTTATTATCATTTCTGTGGTGAGAGCGCTTAATATCCATTCTCTTTACAATTTTAATAAAGTGTATCATCATTAACTATACTCACCTTGCTATGCAATAGATCTCTTGAAATGTATTCCTCCTATCTGATAGATCTCTTGAAATGTATTCCTCCTATCTAACTATAATTATGCATCCTTTGACCAACATCTCCCCATCCCCCTCCCCACTAGCCACCCCAGCCTCTGGTAACTACCATTCTACTCTACTTGCATGAGATTAAATTTTTGGATTCCAAATATGAGTTAGATCATGCACTATTTGTCCTTCTGTGCCTGGCATATTTCACTTAACATAATGTCCTCCAGGTTCATCTGTGCTCTCACAAATGTCAGGATTTTGTTCTTTGTTATAGCTGAATAATATTATATTGTATATGTGTGTGTGTGTGTGTGTCACATTTCCTTTATTCATTCATTTGTTGATAGATATTTTAGGTTGGTTCCACATCTTGGCTATTGTGAATAATGCTGCACTAAACAGGGATGCAGATATCTTTTGGGCACATGATTTTATTTCCTTTGGATATATACCCAGAAGGGAGATTGCCAGATCATACGGTAGTTCTAATTTTAATTTTTTGAGGAACCTCCATACTGTTTTCCGTAAAGGCTATAACTAGTTTACATTCCCATCAACAGTGCATAAGGGTTCCCTTTTCTCCACACACTCACCAGCACTTACTGTCTTTTGTCTTTTTGATAATAGCCACTTTAACTTAAGTGAGATGACGTACTACTTTTTGTTTGTTTTCTTATAATGCATATAAAATTGTAGGATACCAGTACCTGTATATCACATACATGCACAAACATGCACACCTCAAGATACATGCTTAAAACTTTTTAATGAATGATATGCAAAGTATAGGACAACTCTTTTAACCAAATACTTGTTCCCCACCTTATCACCACCCCCAAGTTTCTTCTCTATAGAAATTTTGAAGGTTTCACTGGATCTAGGAGACTGTTGAGCACCTGATTGAGTTTTGTTAGGAATCAGAAACATCAGTGTTTGATAATAAGGAATATATGACAGCTTCTCCCAACATAGGTGGAAAGGAAGGTTGTATCAAGCACCTACTAGGTGGTAGGTGTATGTTTCATCTCATTGACTCATTTCTGTTTAAGAGCACAAAGGCCAAGGTAGATGTTCTCACATCTGGACTAATCCTATAATTTGATTTTAGGACAGCCAGGAGCTATTCAGTGAGTTCAATTCAACACACACACACGTTGAAACTAACTTTTCAGCAGACCCTGTCCTGGTAGCTGGAGATAGAGATGAATCATACCCAAACCATATCCTACAGACACTCTCATTCTAGTGGTATCAGAACTCTCCATACTACTCTTACTTTAAAGGCATTTCTGTTCCCTGCTATGCAAAATAATAAAATAAAATGTTATTCTCTTCCTTCCATACAAATACACTTCCTTCATCTTTGTTTTTTTCTTTATTTTTCTATCTTGCTGCCACTTCTTTAGGTTGGACAAACTGGGAATTCTGAAAATGATTAAAGAGGCACATATATTTTTAGCTCACACTGCTCCCTTTCTTTGCTTTTAGTGAAAGTTGACCCCACCTCCATGTCTCCACTGGAGATTCCAAGTGACAGTGAGGAGAGTACAATTGAGAGTGGATCCTCAGCCTTACAGAGTCTGCAGGGACTACAGCAAGAGTGAGTACTTTTTGTCTTCAAGTCTGTCTTTGTGTATGTGTGTGTGTGTGTATGTGTGTACATTTGCACATACGTATAGGTGGAACCAATGATCAGACACAAGAGTAAGAATTTGAGGACAAGAAATGTAGGGAGACTACCTTTCCTGTGAAAGTATACAAGTTTGTGTGCATACATGTGCATGTACATGCATGTTATGGTAGAGCTATGTTCTAACTGTAAATCATCAATTTTTCTTTTGAAAAATCTTCAAATTTCCCACAAAGTGTAGTTGTGTATTGTTTCTCTCTGTAAGTTTAAAACAGCTTTGTCTTTCAATATCAGAACTAATTGGAAGTAGTTGGCTTGTGTTTAGCAACAACTGTTGTATGAAAATCAAATTTCTTTAAGCAGGAGAATGAAACTTATTGAAGTGAAATGCTCACACTATTTGGAAACACAACCACTGAAGGAAACACTACCACCTCGCATGCTTTCTCTGAGCACCTACTGAGAGACCTGTACCTACTGAGCAGAAAGGCCTAGTTGACAGAATTTTTTTTACTATTCCAATTATTTCTTTTTGGGGGGACCTAGCATTAAATTCGCATAAATTAAAAGCAGATATGAGGTGGCACCAATGAATGTAAATTCATTTTTTTAAGCCTTCACTGTAAAGTCACTGTTTGGCTTTATCTCTATTTCTTTGATCAGACCAGCAGCAATGGCCCAAATGCAGGGAGAAGAGTCGCTTGACTTGAAGAGAAGACGGATTCACCAATGTGACTTTGCAGGATGCAGCAAAGTGTACACCAAAAGCTCTCACCTGAAAGCTCACCGCAGAATCCATACAGGTCTGCCCACTCCCATCTCACCCCTAACACACACACACACACGAGAGAGAGAGAGAGAGAGAGAGGGGCAGCGAGAGAGAGAAAATTTCTGAGAGACAGAGAATGAAGTATTGAAACAAAGACTGATGCATTTATACTCGTGGGCACAGGCTCCATTCATGGTTTTTATCCCTATTTCTTGTCCCTGCTCTAAGGCAAATTTTATAAAACCAGCCTAGGAAAACACTAAACTAAATCTGGTGTCTTAATAGTCATCATTCTCAGTGAGCCCCTGTGGGTCTTTCTAATTGTGGAGTCAACACTTAAGCAAAGACTAAGGTATTACTCCCTTCCTTACTACCAGGGTCTCACAAGTTTTACTAAGCATGGAAAAGCACAAGAACGATTTAAACTATCTGAAATTAAAGCAGGCTTTAATCCACTAACCATTAACGTGTCTTTGTTCACATTTAAAAAAAAAAAAAGGGTGCACATAAATAAATAAAGCAGACCCGGTAGTGATCCTGTCAAACTGGACAGCACATACCTGATCTGAAGAAGGAGAGCTGCCACTCAAATCCAGCTCACTACAGTCAGCCATCAATATTCTTGGATTCCACATCCGTGGATTCAACCAACCACAGATCAAAAATATTTTTTAAAAAACAACAAAAATAATAATACAACAATAAAAAAATACAAATTTTAAAATACAGTATAACAACTACTTACATAGCATTACGTGGTATTAAGTAACATAAGTACATCTAGAGATGACTTAAAATATAGGAGAGAATGTGCATAGATTATATGCAAATGCTATGTTATTTTGTATCGGGGACTTGAGCATCCATGGATTTCATTATCCACCCAATGGGTGGGGTTAGGAATGTAGGTGGCTCTGAAATCAATCCCCCATGGATACTGAGGGACGACTGTATTAGTAAATTTCATTGTTAAAGAAAAGCAAAAAAAAAAATCCGGATTATGTGAAATGTCCTTGATTTTGAATGTTGGCATCTAGTTCAAAAATTTTTTATAACCCCAGGAATTCAAAGAAACCTGCCTAGAAGCCAGATGCAGTTTGTTGTTTATCATTTTGTGCCCTTTGCCTTGGAGACTCCTTCTCCATAGTGGTCTCCAAGCTCAGAATTGGGACTTAGACACTTTGGACAAGGAGGAAGCCCTCCTTTCTTGTAAACATCTGCTATGTTACATTTGCTATGTTAGAATTTGTGTAGAAGGACCCAGAGCCCTAGTTGTTGTGCCTAGAGACTATGAACAGGTGAGTGATTTCTAGACTGCATTATTCAAACATTCCCATGACACTATTATTATTTAGTGATGTATTTGTTTGCTTTTCTTCCATGGGAAATGGATGCTGACTATATGTATATTCCATATATTCCAAGTCTCCAATTAAGCTGCTGTGGGATCTGATAAGTCTTCCTACCTCTTTGATCTTAGGTTTCCTCAACTGTAAGATGAAGGGTTTGGACTAGGTGATCCCACTTGACTATTTTAATCTGGAACTCTATGGATTGAATTTCAATGTAACCTATTGTGTGGCTACCTTCTAGGAGTTCTTGGAAATTGCTTTATAATATGCTAAAAGTCTGGCTGTCTTTCCTATGTCACCTCTCGACTCTTAAACTGAGATAACAGATATAATTTACTTTTATTTACTTTTCAGATTTCAGTACTGTTTTTCTCCCTAGTGGTGTAAGCTTCCCATATGAAGGGAAAAAATGGCCCTAAAATATCGACAATTCTTAGCTTTGAGTGTTATAAGTGAATGCCTTATCTGATAAGAGATCATGACAGCCAGATGGCTGGTGGTTGAATGAAGACAACGGATGTCTACGTGAATCTCAGTACTTTTTTTTTTTTTTTTTTTTTTTTTTTTTTTTTTTGAGACAGAGTTTTGCTCTGTCACCCAGGCTGGAGTTTAGCCTGGTATAATCTCAGATCACTGCAACTTCCGCCTCCTGGATTCAAGTGACTCTTATGTCTCAGCCACCCAAGTAGCTGGGATTACAGGCATGTGCCACCTTGCCCAGCTAATTTTTCTGTTTTTAATAGAGATGGGGTTTCACCATGTTGGCCAGGCTGATTTCAAACTCCTGACTTCAAGTCATCTGCCTGCCTCGACCTCCCAGAGTGTTGGGATTACAGACATGAGTTACTGCCCCCAACCTCACTTTGTTTAGATTCAGAATTGTTCTTATTCTACTCAGGTTTTAAGACTGACCCATACCTTTGCCATGGGTATGTGACCATAGGAATGCTCACTTGAAGGCCTTTCACAGCAACATTTAATTTGCCCCAACTGCTTGACTTACAATAGGCTTAGTTGCTTTAGGAAATAACGTGGCAATTGTGTAAGTACCCCCATCCCTGCAATATTGTAACGGGCTTTCTTTCCTCACTACAATTCATTCTCCACACAGTAACCAAAGGATTTTCATCTGTTTGCTTCTGTTTTGCTTTGTTTAAATATAAATAAGATTATATAACATCTACTTAAAATCTTCCAGGGACTTCCCGTCACACTCTGAATGAAATCCAAATAGAGTACCCTAAAAGGCCCTATAGGATCTTGCCTCTTATTAATTTTACTTCATGACATTTCTTATCCTTTAGATCTCAATTTGAATGTCTTCTGCCCAGAAAATTCTTCCCTAAACCTATCTTAAACAGTGTCCACTCCCAAATATCTGTATAAGAAAACCCTACTTAATTTCTTGATAGAGTTTTCTTTTCTTTCTTTTAAAAAGTTTAATAATACGTATTTTAACCCAATATATCACAAATATTATCACTTTACAACCTAATCAGTACGAATAATTATTTTTATTTTATTCTCATATTTTGTGGGTACATAGTAGGTTTATGTATTTGAGTTACATGAGATATTTTGATACAGGAAGACAATGTGTAATAGTCAAATCAGGGTAAAGGGGTGTATCTGTCCCCTCAAGCATGGGGCATTCTTTGTGTTACAAACCATCTAATTATACTCTTTTAGTTATTTTTAAATGTGCGATTAAATGATTTTTTTTTACTATAATGATGCTGTTGTGCTATCAAATGGTAGACCTTATTCATTCTTTCTATTTTTTGTACCCATTAACCATCCCCACTGCCCTCTGACCCACTGACATCCCACCATCCTTCCCTGCCTCTGGTAATCATCCTTTTTCCTCTGTCTACGTAAGTTCAATTATTTTAATTTTTAGTTATCACAAATAAGTGACGACATATGAAGTTTGTCATTCTGTGCCTGGCTTATTTCACTTAACATAATGACCTCCAGTTTTATCCATGTTGTTGCAATTGATAGGATCTCATTCTCCATGTGTGCCCTTTGCCTTGGAGACTCCTTCTCCATAGTGGTCTCCAAGCTCAGAATTGGGACTTAGATACCTTGGACAAGGAGGAAGCCCTCCTTTCTTGTAAACATCTGCTATGTTACATTTGCTGTGTTAGAATGTGTATAGAAGGACCCAGAGCCCTAGCTGTTTTGCCTAGAGGCTATGAACAGGTGAGTGACAATGTCTTTTCAGCTGTTTTGCCCATATGCACCACATTTTCTTTATCCATTCATCTGTCGATGGACACCAGTTACTTCCAAATTCTGGCTGTTGTGAATACTGCTGCAATAAACATGAGAGTGTAGATATCTTATTGATAGACTGATTTCCTTTCTTTTGGATATATAACCAGCAGTGAGATTACTGGATCTTATGATAGCTCTACTTTGTTTTCTGAGAAACCTCCAAATTGTTCTCTATAGTGATTGTACTAATTTACATTCCCACCAACAGTATATGAGGGTTCCCTTTTTTCCACATTCTCACCAGCATTTGTTATTACCTGTATTTTGGATAAAAGCCATTTTAACTGAGGTGAGGTGTTATCTCATTATAGTTTTGATTTACATTTCTCTGCTTATCAGTGATGTTAAGCACCTTTTCATATGCCTGTTTATCTTCTTTTGATAAATGTCTTTTTAGCTCTTTTGCCCATTTTTAAATTGGATTATTAGATTTTTCTCCTATAGAGTTTTTTGAACTCTTTGTATGTTCTGGTTATGAATCCCTTGTCCGATGGGTAGTTTGCAAATATTTTCTCCCATTCTGTGAGTTATCTCTTCACTTCGTTGATTATTTCCAGAAGATTTTTTAACTTTATGGCACCCCATTTGTCCATTTTTGCTTTGATTGCCTATGCTTGTGGGGTATTGCTCAACAAATCTTTGCCCAGTCCAATGTCCTGGAGAGTTTCCCCAATATTTTCTTGTAATAGTTTCAGATCTTAGACAGAAGCCTTTAATCCACTTTGATTTGATGTTTGCATATGGTGAGATATAGGGCTCTAGTTTATTCTTTTACCTATGATATCCAGTTTTCCCAGCACCCTTTATTGAAGAGACAGTCCATTCCCCAATGTATGTTCTCAGCACCTGTGTCTGAAATGAGTTCACTATAAATGCATAGATTTATCTCAGGGTTCTCTATTCTGTTCCACTGATCTGTGTGTCTGTTGTATGCCAGCACCACACTATTGTGATTACTATACCTCTATAGTATAATGTAAAGTCACATAATGTGATTCCTTCAGTTTTATTATTTTTGCTTAAGATAGCTTTGGTTATTCTGGGTTTATGTGGTTCCATATAAATTTTAGGATTGCTTTTTCCATTTATGCAGAAGAATGTCATTAATATTTTGATAGAGATTACATTAAAATTGTAGATTGCTTTGAGTAGTACAAACATTTTAACAAAATGTGTTCTTCCACTCTATGAACATGGAATATCTTTCCTTTTGTTTGTGCTTCAGTTTCTATCCTCATTGTTTTATAATATATATTGTAGAGATCATTTCTTTTCTTGTTTGTGTTAATTCCTAGGTATTTCATTTTATTTGGAGCCATCGTAAATGAGATTATTTCTTGATTTCTTTTTCAGAATGTTCACGTGTTGACATATAGAAATGTTTTAGATTTTGTATGTCAGT